GCAGAAAGAGTGACTAATAACGAAGAAGTTTTTCAGTTAGAGGTTGACTAATAACAGACAGGTAGCTTCTTTTAGTCCTGGAAACAGCGGGTGAGTTCTGGCAGTATGCTGGGAATGGACTGTTCTCGAAACCTATCCACTGAACAGCAAGTGTCCAGTCAGAGCTTAGCAACCAAAAGCATAAATACAAGGCCTGTCAGGCATTTGTCAACAGGCTAAAATGTGTGCATGGGCCTGCAGTAAGAGGGATATATGTTAGTTTAAGAGTTTAGAAGTTCAAGTTTCTTTTAGTCTTTCCAAAAAAAAAACACAAGCACAAGTGTAAGTAATGGATTGTAGAGTGTTTTTATATCATCCAATGTGAGCTGCCATTGTAAGTATGTTCAGCTACTAGCTTATCACACACAGTTGTTATTAGCGCCTTTCACACATGCACTGCTCTCCTGAAATATCCTCACACTGTCCAGGTGGGCTGAATGTGTGATCACAACATGTTGTTGGGTGATTATGATGATCAAGTCGACCTCGGTTTCTCTGCATCATACTCTTCATTGCTCACCTCAGCCGACTGTTTTAGGGTTTCCAGTATTGTGTTTGTATTGCGGAAACTTACTTTGACGTGTTGTAGTGGTATATTAGATACAGTATAAGACTCCTCCTCCTCCCCCTCACCTTAACCAACTAGAGTATTTTCAGTTGGGAAGAGTATCAGACGTGCTGTGAGGTGCATGTGTCAAAGGTGATTACAAAAAATATAAAACATGATCTATAAGATGTCAGGAGTTCATGTGTGAAAGGGGCTACTTCAAAATCCAAGTAAGTTATAATCAGGTTACAGTTTAGTAAAAGTAGTACAAGTTGGTTTATTTAGCTGACGTCATTTGTTTGTCTGTTACTAGGCGGTCATGACTAGCACATCCTCAGTGTATGGATGCATACTCTGGGTGGTGTCATAAGCGAGCTTTGGGATAAAGTCAGTACCTTTGTCTCGCTCTTTGAATTGTGGGAAGTTTATACTCCAGCAACCCCAGTCGATGTTACTCGAGATCATGTTGGATTGTCGTTCACGTCTTATTCCTGATCCTCTTATATTGTAACAAAGTAAATAACTTGCAACAAAAAACATCTCTGCTTATTATCTTTATGCCTTCAATTAAGATCTAATGTTGATGATGCTGCCTGTTTCCCCCTTTATCTGACAGTAAGCTGCAAAGAAAAAAAGAAGTAGTAGCGGATGCAGGGTTTTAATTAAATGAATCCTAATTAAAAAAAAGATTGGGGGAAAAAAAATGTATCATCACATTCTTAAATACAGCTGTTAAAATCTGGGAGAGATAGCACTATCACCAATAACTGAACACTTGTGTTTGCCAATGTAATGTGGGCGTCAGATAATTTGAATCAATTACAACTTAAATTCTACTGAGGTAGTAATTAGTGTGTAAAATATGAAATAAAGGCAGCCTTGTGTTAATCCATCTGTAATAATAATGACTATTTCTCATGAAGATTTACTGTATTATTGAATAAAAATAAATCCCTTGCCACGTTTTATAAATTGCCTGTAGGATTTCCCTTCATGAAATGTAAAGTAAATGTCTATACAGGCAATTATGCAGATGATGAAATGTTTGGATTTGCATTCAGGCATGAGAAATGGGATAAAAAGGAAAAACGACTACAAACCTATTAGACTAATCGCTGGGCGTACATGACAAGAGGGGTCCTTAAATCACTGCAGATCTAAAGTAATTAACACATTGCTATCATTAAGCTATGATCACTGACATGAAACAAGTCAGTATGTTCTATAAAAGCTCGTTGTGAATGCTTGGTTAAATCAACTATTCATCATTTATCTCGTGTAATAAAGACAGATAGAGATCTTAACGAGAAGGAAATGCAGAGGGGACGGTGGGGAAAGTCGCTCCCATATACCTGGAACAATGATTGATTCTCTCTATTGATAGGGTGAGATTTATTCTCCATATCTGTGTGTCACAGACGAGACTTCCAGGTGTGTGTCAATAACAGGCCCTGAATACAATCCAAAACCCGTCAAATGTCAGCTTCATCTGATAGCTGTGAAGCCCCGAGCTACAAAACACACTGACATTCTGCCTGAGCGGTGGGGAGACGAAGGAGATCTCAGACAATGAGGCATTTTGTTGAATGGATGGGGAAGCAGCATCGGTGTGACAGAAGAAAAAAACAAACTAAATATTCTTTGAAAGTTCAGATAAAAAACAGAGCAAGAAGAAGGACTGTTTTGGCCGTAAGGAGAGTTTAAATTTACTCTTAAAGTCTCCTTAATGCTAAACGAATTTGGTATAAATATTCAGTTTGAAAAAGGAAAGAAACATGTTTTTGTTTGCATAAATAAACTCTACACGATACCTTCAAGGGAACATTTAATACACAGGGCTTGGTGCTGTACACCACACTCTTTTAAACTTTTAAACACACTAACTTTAAAGGTTTTAATTGTGACTTGGTTATCATAACAAGGTCAGCCTCGTGTGAGGAAGCTTGATATCGAGACGCAGCAAAACTGTATGTAAAAGAACTGTCTGTAACAGACCTGTATGTAAAGCTCAAACGGAAAGTCAGCAGTCTGATGTTAATCGTAAATGTGTATCTGGTGACACATCATACCTTTTGGGTGCTCATCATCCCTGTGGTGCCTCTGTTTCCTTTGCACCGTATAATGGACATCAATAAGCAGTACCAGTGTTCACTGTAATTCTCCAACAATGGTCTCTATATTTCAGCAAAGTAAAAGCTGTCCTAGTGGCTCAGGCAGCACACTACATTTACTGGAGGTGGATTGTGGGAGGAGGACATATTGGAGAGAAGTCACACACACACACACACACACACACACACACAACAGAAACTCCACACATCCACCCACCAGCAAAAACTAGCCAAAAACCCATGTCTAGCTGCAGCACCCACACGAACCCACACCCACAAAGACACACATCAGTGCTCTCCAGATGGATGGCTTGTTTGATAATGTTTGAAATGAAGAAGTGGTTTGCTGGAGTCCATCATCTTTTTTGACACTCCCTCAAGAAGTGAATCATATGGAAGTCTGGAGATGAAGAATCAACTCGGTACAAGTGGAGAGTAGCAAACAGAGGCCACGGACATCACCATAAGTGTGTTTTTTACTCTTCACAGGCTTTACTCCTCAACTGGAATGAGCTGGTTGTCCTAAAGAAGGAGTTTTTGACTTTTTCCACTTCTGTATTAAAAACAGCTCATCTTCAAATGAGCCAGTTTGGATGCTGAGAAGAAATCTGATTCACTGAACATTTACTAAAAGTAAAAATGTTTTTTTTTCAATTTCATATAAAAGTTTTATTCACAAGTCCTTAAAGCCTTCTGAATAAATACAATGTAGCTCATCCATACGTTACTGCCTGCAAGGATTTTTAACAACTGGTTAAGAAGCCAGTACAGAACAAGAAGCGTCACGACTCATCACTGCTGTTAATAAGCTTTGGCACATAGTGTTAAATAAAGTCTGTCTTAATTAGCAGAGAAATGATAATCACACTTACCAGAAACAACAACAACAACAAATGGGTCTGAAAGTAACCTGAAGCTCTGCACCTCATTTTCACCTTCACAAGCTGAGTGAACAGTGTTTCCAATGTTCCTGCAGGCAGATCTGTGAAAACAGTTTCTATGTTTGTACACTGGATGTTTGAGAGATCTGACACATGTATAGTAGTTGACATATCACCAGAGGTAACATATATCCTATATCCTACAATTTAGAATCGCTCATTGGCTAAAAGACTGCTGAACCCACAATGGTCGCTTGACAATCGGTATAATTAACACTGAAGCTAATCAGATGTCTGACAGCCTCTAATCAAACACACAGTGTCTGTTACTTCCTCCTACTAATCAGAAAAAAAAACCCAGACCTATTAAAGCTCAAGTCTTTGTTCGCTAATGTTTTGAATTGGTGCCTGTCACTCTTCTTAAGGCTTTGCGTCTGCACTCAGGTTTCCTCTCTTCCTGCCAGCGCTCGTTTCAAACCCTTCAGGAACATTTAAGCGTCTGCTTCAAAGCGGGGAGAGAACAACTTGTACCAGCGACGGCACCAGAGGGTGAGACAGAGATTAATAATCAAGAATGAGGAGGAAGAGAGGGATCAAAAGAGAGAAAACCCCACTGATGGAGTACATTAGAGCTAACCCTGGTGATTACCGCAGCGTGCAGCATGTGAGTGTTTTAGCAGGAGACCACCCAGAGACACAGATGAACTCAAAGGGATGGGAGGCCGCCGCCGCATCAGCTTAGAAAGGCGCTAACTCCAAAGCCTTAAAAAAAAAAAAAAAAAATAGCGTTTCCCTCTGAGGCATAGAGTAGCACCATAAACAAACTTGAACCGCTGCATGTTTGCTGCGGTGGGGTGCCACCCGGCCTGTCTCCCCTCTAATATGGATGCTTCCACTTGACAACATAAACAACTTGTCAATTAGCAGCCTGTTTGTACAAACATTTACTGCATTTAATTCACCAGAGGAGCAGCTGACTGAGAATGTGCTAGCTGGGACGAAGGATAAAGAGTGCTTCTTTGCGAGACTATAATTTCAGTTATCGTGTGTGTGTGTGTGTGTGTGTGTGTGTGTGTTTGAGAAAGCGTGGGAGAGCTTTAGTTGTATACCGCTGATCGGATTTGTGGATTGGAAGTTCATTAAAACGTCTGAAGCTTTGATGCGCTGATAAAGGTCGAAGAGGACAAGCAATGAGAGCTGATTGAGATACTCAACTTTTGCAGGACAGGGGAGGAAAAGTTTCAAAGAAAGATCTAATAAACAACAGACAGAGAGAAGAAGGAATGGCCTGAGGCAAGGAGGCAAATAAGAGGCCTGCAGAGATGCAGGAAGCCAGTTGGAGCGAGATAACTCAGAGACATCCAGAGGCCGAGATAGCTGGAAAGACACCATCTGTCTCTTTTTTTTTCCCGCTACACTCACCGTCAGTGGAGCACCCGGTGGAGCCATCGCTGGAGCAGTAGCGCATCTCGATCCTCTGCCTGCCCACCTCTAGCAGGCTGGGATCTGGGATCCGAGCTTTGCAAGTGTAGCGGAAACGCTGCTCGTAGTGGCCGCCGTTGTCCGAGATGTTGACGGGCGTCCAGGGAGTCCAGGGCGTGGTCTTCTTCATGTCGGGACATGGCAGGGTGTTGCACGGCTGATACTCCTGCAATCACAGAGACAGGGGGGGAAAAAAAAGCAGCATTTAGTGTTGTTTCATTTCAAGCCTGTTCATTTTTCCCCCCTGAATAGCGTAGGAGGAGATCATCACAAATCATTAAAGAAATAATTAAACATGACAAGCTCAGTCAGAAATGTATTTCCAAAGCATAAAAATGAGCAGGACAATGGCTTTAGAAATCCTCGGCAGTGACTAATATGAAATTAAACAGCTTATGTTACGAGGAAATAAACAGCCTTTTCTAAGCTTTCATCGTCACTCATCCTTAAAAGCCTCTTGGTTGATTGACTTGACTGAAAGTTGCCAAATCTAGCACCTCTCACTCCCCACTAAAAAAAAATCCCCTCACAAAATCAACCAAGTCGCTTTCTGTCTGGCCAGAAACAGCCTGCACTCACTGACCCAAAGATACATTCCCATTAGGCCACTTTCTGAACATGGCAAGAGGCAAACAAGCCAGGCAGGAGAGGCCATTGATCAAGTTTAATTGATAACCAAGGGGAAAGGACAGAAGGCTGAAAGAGACGTTAACAAAGAAAGAGGCAAACAAGTTAACAACAAGGAAACTCTTTCTCCCATCTGCATCCGGCTCTGAGAACCAGGCAGTAAAAATGAAGAACACAGCACTTGAGCTCCAACAGTATGATATGTGAGGCTCATTCAGAAGTGCTACGAGTATATATTTTGGCGCCGTTCTCTCAGCCGACATCTATTTGCACTAGCTCGAGAGAGAGGGAAAAAAGATGTGCGTCTTCTGCTCGGCTATATCTGAAGGTACGATTCAGGGAGATAATAGGAAGGTAATAGGCAGTCCAGACCTTCTTTTATGCAGAGTTAAATAAATAAAGAGGTGGGGGAAGTGTTACGTCTGGAGAAAATGACACAGCAAGCAGAGAGGCTGAGATGGCTGCCATTTTCCTCACGCTTGTTTATTTATGCTGAATGGGCCTTGAGTGACTGCCAGACCTTGACAAAATAAGATAAGAGTTCCTTTCTGCACATCCGTCAGCCTGTCACATGCGATCGGCTGACAGGTCAGCTGAGGAGAGGAGCATGGTTCATTATACAGTATGCAGGTCTATTTTTCAGCAGCTTCCCTCCTCTTCTGTTCCTGCCTTACCCATCTATCCATCTTTATATTTCTTTAGCCCTCTTCTTCACACACTGCTCGTAACTTGTTTCCCGTCAGCTCGCTTTCTCCCTCCTCTTGTTTCTTTTCCCCTCTGCTTCATCTCTCTCCGTCTCCCCCGATACACCTTTGCTTCTGTCTCCTCCTCTCCCCCCCTCCCTCCCTCTCTCTCCCCCTCCCTCTGTCGCTCCTCCCAGGGGTACCAAGGTTAAAAACACAGGGAGGATTTAGATTCTGTTAGAGGCCCCGTGATAAATGAGGGTGTCACCTCCACTGCACTTGCTGCCTCTCTCCATCTAGCGCAGTAATCATCTCCAGACATTAATATTTAACATCATCCCGCATCACAGGGCCAGCCCACAATCCGAGATGATCAGCCAATAGCAGAACGGAAGTGGGAAAAACATCCAGCTCACCGTCTCTTTGGCCGCAGCCCGCAGTGACCAAAAAGCAACACATGGCATGAGTCGGGGGGGGGGCAAAGAGGCGAACAATCTGTGGGTGTTTGCTGTGTGTGAGTTGTTGATGGTGGCTAAACACAGTAAATATTTAATGAGGCTTGTCTGGTAAGCGTTTTTTTTTTCCCTCCCCCTGTACTCTCTTAGGATTAGTGTCGCTGTACGGGGCAAAGGAGATAATTACTGGGTTTAAAGCAAAACCTCATTCAAGGTCTCCAAAGGCTTCCATATCAACCGCTGCTTAAATACACTCAGTATAAAGAAAGGTGGTCAGTGAGTGTGTGTTACAAAGATGCCCCATTGACTGAACAAACACCCACAGCTCCGTGGTTTATTGAGAGAACTGATGTCCTTGTGTAGAAAACCTTGCACTGGGACTTTGGAGAAATATTTTTATAGTGGACACAGGGTTTGTAGTCCCCCCCCCTCCCTCTTTTTTTTTTCTTTCAAAGAACAAATAATTTCAACTCTTAAGGAGTCTAAAATCATATAAAGGAAACAACTTGGGAAGGAAAAAAGAGGCTTCTTTTGTTCATCTGCTTAAATATCATGATTATATTCACGTCACAACAAAGCTCCCCCCCCCACTGTTGTGGTTGTCTAGAGGATCGGTTATATTTGGTATCAATTCACCAAAAAGACATTTGAAAGTTCATTTTTATTGGAGTCGTTCTTTTAGGGGAGTTTAATATGAATTTAGAGACTGCAGTGTTGGTGTATTGGATAAATAACAGAGTATCTAAAGAAGCCGATAGGGCAATAATAAAGGTCTGATGACCACATAGAGACAAACAAATGATTTAAAAGATAGTGCACTGAAGGATGTTAAATGTATCCTGCTGCTCTGTGGGCTGTCATATTTCTGTTAGTTAGAACATCGCCTTTTGAAATGCACGAGGACTCAGCTCGAGATGAATTCAGCATCAGTGGGACGTGGTTAAGAGCTTGATGGTCGGGTTGTTGCTTTTAGCCAAAAAATAAAAATAAATTTAAGGATTTTCATTTGCTTGATGACTGATTCTGGAATGTTCCAATAAAAAAACACAACTGCAGGGGAACAGTGAAAGTACATGTGGCCTAAACACTCAGAAAAAAAACACCCGTATGAGAAGTGGTAGATCTTTGTCAACTGATAAACAGATGTGGTGTGGATGGACAGAATGTGATGCAATATCATGATATGATGGTGCTGTCCATTTTCATACTGTATCCCCTCAGGTCCATGATATGAGCCCCACTGACTACTGCATCCAATAACAGACCTTGAGAGTGGCCAGTTTATTGTATTTTCTAGCTTCATTGAGAAGAATATCAAAAACAGTACCTCTGCTTTAAGAGAGAAATTGTAATCATTTTTTGAATTATGCATTTGAAATTGAACTGAGGATGTGAAATAAGTGTCGGTATACCTTTAACAATCTTAACCCCCAACACACAGACAAGTACACCAACAAATGAAATGCCTCTATTCAGTGACATTCACAGAGCCGGAGCAGAGAATAGATCATCATCTTAGGCAAATATGAAATGTGTGTCATGTAAATGTTCCTCCTAACAAAAGAAGCAGCTGTTCTGTGTTTTTTAATTAAAACTTTGATTCACTTTTACAACATTTACGGCTAATGATGCTGATCAAAATTAGCCATTTAAATGTTTCATGGAAGTCTTTCCAGTTGATATGTTGAACTAATAAAGCAAAGTAATAAAGAAAGAAGAAAAAAAACACAAAAACTAGGAAACACTTCCCGCACACTCAGCCACACTCGCATCTCAATTTTCGGAGAAATTAACTGAAAGTGAAAACATGGCGAAAAGCAGTCGATTGTGACAAGTGGCATGTGGAACACAATATTGGATTCAATTAGTTTGCTGATTTCGACTCATATCTACACTCCCCCCTCGGCGAGAGCAGCGATATGCATTATGGGCAAATGGAGAGCAGCGATTTTATGCTGCGCAACACCTTTAATAGGCAGCTGCTCAGAGACGGGCGGTGAGGTGATGTAGTTCTGGCTGAAGCTCAGAATAGCCAGGTCGGAAGGGGTGGTGGTGTTGGGGGGGGGGGGGGAGCTGATAGGATCTTTACACAAACAAGCTGCCTGGCTGGTCAGTATGGAAGCAGTGGTGGTCAGTGTGTTTTTGTGCATGCATGACGTATCAAATGGCTTCAGGCTGGCAATGAAATGTGTGTCAGTGTGAGGCGCGTGCATGCTTATAACTTTATGCATGGCTGACTTTTGAATTCAGGCAGCTCCTATCTCATTTCTTCTCCATCCGCAGACCTTTCTGCTCATTTTTCAGGTGTGGAGGGGAAACAAGTTGAGGAGGAAGAAGGGCAAAAAAGAGTGAGTTCCTGAGAGCTCGGGACGAGTGAGCCCTCAGCCTCACTCTGTATTTTTTATTTTAGAATGTATGAATGTAGAGTGGAGGGTGGAAAACAGAGAGTATACCTTTACTTCTGTGTGTGTGTGTGTGTGTGTGTGTGTGTGTGTGTGTGTGTGGGGTGTGTGTGTGTAGTACAAAAGGCTCTCTGTGGTGTGTGGCCAGATGTGGGAGGTGAATAATAAGGAGTCGTGCCTCTCCAGCCTCCTACCATCATTACACTCATTATACTTCTTATTGGGCTGGGAGAGCTGTGAGAGTGTGTGGGGGGGAAAGGAAGTGAGGAAAGTGTGTGTATTTTGGGGCACAAAAAGGAAGCCTAAGCATACACACTAGGTCCCTGACATTTAAGCGAACGGTCCAGATGTGAGAGTGACTAATCCTCTCCTCCTCCTCTGACATCTTTATCTATTGTGGTCGCGTCCACGGAGACGGAGGCCCTAATGTTCCTCAAGCCTCCATGACACATCAGTTCAATTAGCAGCACCGACCGAAACACACTTTGTCAAACACTGCCCCCCCCCCCCCCCCCCCGCCCCACCGCCACTTCTCCCTCTGCCTCCCCACCTGTCTGACTTAGTAATGAAGTCGGCCAAGAGCAGGTCTCCCGGCTACACACCAGTGCACACACGCACACACACAAACATGAGCACAATAAGCAACACCGCGCAACACAAAAAACACACAAACCTGTTCCCACATCAGTCTGCCCACACTACACTGGGTACTTAACTTTCATTTCACAGGCTGGCGGCACAAGTGAATTTCTGGCAGGTAAATGGAGCAGCTCTCAGTGTCATTAAGCAGCTCTGCACATCGTCAGCTCTGCGTGGCCAATATTTAACTTAACTTTTAGAAAGAGAGTTCGTCTGAGAAGAAACCCCTTTTTGATCCTCAGATGTGAGAGTTTTTTTTTTTGATGTACTTTACTGTATAAAGTGGGAAACACCACAGTGAGTGATGTCCGCTTGAAGACTGCACATCTCGGAAGCAAGTCTTTTTTCATCTGATGCTAA